ACACACACACACACACACACACACACACACACACACACACACACACACACACACACACACACACACACACACACACACACACACACACACGCAGTCTTACCCCCAAATGCTTGTCTCGAGAGGACCGACTCAGTAATCTTGAATTGCGAGTCGAGGGCAGCTTTACGGTGTTGCAACTACCGTTGAGCTTGCTTGCTTGAATGTACGCATCCAGCGATGAGTGGATTGACTGCCTTGGTTTCGTCTGACCAATTTGGTCGCTCTGTTTGGGGCGGTGGATGGTACAGTATATTGCTGAAGGCGATTATTGCGATGGAGTCGCTAACCGGTGGCTACTGATTGTATGCTGGTTGTATGCGGGACAGGTTCAAGAGATCTTCGAGAGAAGCAAAGCTGAGGCCGATGTGATGTCATCTCCAGTTCCCAGCCTTTCAGTGAGTGGTGGTGCTGGCTCTGTCGATCCTCTCGCGACCTCGTTATCCTCAAGCCTCACGGACTCTCTCTCCGACGCGTTGTCCACTCCTACTGATCAGAGGATTGCCGCCTTAGCTGAAGCTTCTGTGGAACCCTGCGCTCCTATGGTAAGCAACAATCTGCTGCCAAACTCTTTTGTTATATAGATTATTTTTATAAACCCTGGTGACACTGCCACATGATATTGTGTGTTCGCTTCGATCAAGACGCGCAGGAAACTACCGTCTTGCCCCGAACATAACGCATTTTGTCGATGATTGCATACAAACGATCTTTCCGGTCCGATGCAGCCATAATGAGGGTGCGTTGTGTTCGGGAGAAGGCAGTAATCATATCCGAATTTTATACAATTCCCAACAAGCCAGCTGAGTCAGAGACCATTAGGGAAGGTCCGGCCGGTATCGTCAGTCGCGACTAGGCTTGATTCCGCTTGAACGCTTGCTTTCCAAGGGACACCAATTTAAAGTAGCTATGTTTTAACGTTTCCTTTCTCTTCATTATTATCTAAAAGATCATTTGTCTACTCCTCCCGCCGCCCGCGCATACTTTCAGAGTGTTTGTCTTCGCCTATTACATCGCAGAAACAAAATTTCTTTTTCTTCTCCGTCTGCTTCTCCTCCTCCTCCTCCTCCTCCTCCTCCTCCTCCTCGTTGTTGTTGTTGTTGTTGTTGTTGTTGTTGTTGTTGTTGTGCTTCTTCGTCTTCTTCTTTTCTTCTTTTCTTCTTTTCTTTCTTCTTCTTTTCTTTCTTCTTCTTTTCTTCGTCTTCTTTTGTCGCTGTCTCTAAATCTGTGGATCGTCGTTCATTGCTGTGTGCTGATGCGCAGGTCTGTCGTTATAATAAGCGGCGCTCGTCAAGGTGCTCATTGAATTTCCAGGAAGAAGCGCTGGGGGGCGAGATTGGCACGGACATGAGCACAACGACACGATATGAGAGTTGTACCGAATCTTCTTCGCGGAGAAGCCCGTCGTCATCCCGCTCGCCATCGCCAACAACCTCGGAGTCATCCTCATCTTCTTCTTCGTCGGTAGTGACTGCTACCTCATCCCCTGTGCGAGTAGAGGCTCGGGCTTTCCACGCGCGCAAGTCCACAGCAATGCGCACTCTGCCGTCGAAATGGTATCCTCGCTAAGCGGAATTCACTCGCTACGACGTTCAACATTCGTTCTGCTCAAAAAGTATCGACCAACAAGATGGTTGCTCGATTGTCGAAGAAATGCAACGAGATTGCTCGCCGTCTCCATCTTCCATCGCCATGACACATGTCGCCATCGCCATCACCGTCGCCATCACCATCCTCGCGATCGACAGATAGTTTGCCTCAGGGAGGAAGCAGGGAGTCCTTTGGGAGATTTGGAAAAGGATCTGTCTGGGGTGGCAAGAAAGCGACCGCGAAGTGAATAACAAGAATGAACTTCGTCGTCGCCGGGTCGTCTTGCTGTCTGATTTTTGTCATGTTCTCTGGCAGCATGCTGGACACTGTCAAAGCGATGAAGGAGTGGAGAAGGGGAGCAATACCGTTCGTCCTAGCCTTTTGCAGGCTACCGGGCTGAAGTCGTTCCACGACGCTGTTCCCTAGTATTGCCCCCTCTGCCCTCTGTCAGTCGCAGACTCGTAGTATCGTTCGGTGGATAAGTGAGCTCGTTAACCACCAGGTTCGTGGGCATGCGCGGGCGTTACCGACGAAGGTAACCATCGAGGCGTCGTTAGCTGTTTAATCTGGGGGCACCACCGTGAAACGACCTCATCCCAGTCGGCTGACTGGGGCGCCATAAAAACCATAGGTAGCAGCAAGGCGAAGTGTTGCGGTTATAAACTTATAATCGGCCCAATTACTTGTGCAGCTGTTTCTGCAAGTCTGTAGTAGATTTTTTGTTCACGTGTGCGTGTGTCCTTGTGTCTGCTTACGCGCGGGCTTGTGTGTGCGTTTGCGTGTGTGTGTTTGAGAGAGAGAGAGAGAGAGAGAGAGAGAGAGAGAGAGAGAGAGAGAGAGAGAGAGAGAGAGAGAGAGAGAGAGAGAGTCGGGGACAGGGAGGTCTGAGAAGTAAGGTGAAGATAGTGGTGGAGAAAGAGCAGGAAGTGTAGCGGATGGTGGAACCGACAGAAGTTTCATCGGCAAAACGACGATGGGGGTTCTGGTATTCTTCATGGCGATGATGATAATGGTGATGACGCAAGATATCCATGTGAGACTGGACCCTGAGGGGAATGGAACTGTTAGAGTACATATGAACTTCATCTCGTATATTGCCACGCAGCGCAAACGTCAGACCACGTCACGCCACGTCGCCACACCATGTCGCATCATCATGCCGTGCCGCGGCACGTGTCGTGTTGCTAGGTACGTCAATTCACCCTACGGGGTACATCGACTGCAGCCTGTTGGTCGAGTGTGTGTCCAGTTGAACAAGACTCAGCGCTTTGTTAATTAAGATTGAGATTCAGATTCGATGTGAACGGCACGCAGCTAAGGGTTTGGGTTAGCAGCCAGCACATCTCATTGGGATTCGATAATCTCTGAGTGACTGTTCACTGGCCTGGCCGACACTCCGTCTGGCGGAAACCTGCGACTCATGGATCTATCATCTACGCATTGCAATTCGAAAGTCGACGCATTTCGAAACAGGCAATCTGTTGCTCGTTGGCATCCCTTGGCGTCGCGAGACTGGGCAATTGTCATCGGTGGTTTCTGACTTTCTGATACTTTTGTAGGCTTTTATAGCTTTATTACGGTTTACATGATGAGCAGTTCATGTGTAGTCTAATCTGATTCTGCCGTGGATTCATTAGCATCCCCGCTCCTGCTTGGATCGAGCGGACTATCAACGATAACGAGAGCATCTAAACAGTCTTCACCTGCCTACACGCATAAGGCACAATGACAGCGAAGCAATGGAGAAACCGGGGAGAAGAGAGAGAGAGAGAGAGAGAGAGAGAGAGAGAGAGAGAGAGAGAGAGA